TATGGCGCAAGTTTCAGACAACGAGTTGGTGCGACCGCATTATAATTGTGTCTACATGCCACATCATTGCGTTTTCAAGGATTCAAGTACGGCAACATAGCTTCAAGCGGTTTTCGACGCATCAACAAAAACGACATCTGGAATATCACTCAACGAAAAACTGATCGTTGGACCTACAGTTTAGAAAGACCTCTTCAGCATTCTGATTCGCTTCCGAATGCATCAGGTAGCACTTTTAGCCGACTTTGCAAAAATGAACCGCAAGGTGGAGTTGGAAGAGGCAGACAGAGACTATCAACGAATCTCTTAAATGTGAGGAACACTTCAAAGCAACAACTAAACGCAGACCAGATGGAAGATTTGTGGTAAAACTGCCATTCAATGAAGAAGTTGGACTACTTGGAGACTCACTACAGCAGGCTCGCAAACGATTACGTAATTTACTCTTTCGTTTGGAAAGGAACCCTGAGCTCTGATAGTAGTACAACAACTTCATCAACGAGCTTATTAACCTTGGCCATATGACGGAAGTTTCAGACAACGAGTTGGTGCGACCGCATTATATTTATGTCTACATGCCACATTATTGCGTCTTCAAGGATTCAAGCACGGTAACATAGCTTCGAGTGGTTTTCGACGCATCAACAAAAACGACATCCGGAATATTACTCAACGACAAACTGATCGTTGGACCTACAGTTTAGAAAGACCTCTGCAGCATTTTGATTCGCTTCCGAATGCATCAGGTAGCACTTTTAGCGGACTTTGCAAAATGTACCGCCAGGAGGAATTGGCAGAAGCAGATAGAGACTATCAGCGCATCTTGCGGAAACATCAAATTTCGACAGAAGTTAAGCCTTACCGATTGACCAGAGTTACGTATGGAATTGCTTCTTCAGCTTTTCATTCGATAAGACTTCTTCAAGTGCTTGCTGAAGAAAGTGACGACGACTCCTTTAGGATAGCAACACTCAACGAGATGTACGTCGATGACATTTTTTCAGGATCTTCAGATAGTGAATCAGCAATTCAGCTACAGGATGGATTCATCAAAACTTGATAAAGCTGGATCTGAATTTCGCAAATGGACATCAAACGACACGAAGCTAGTAGAACAACTCCCAGTACACTATCGAGAAACAGCACTATCAAAAGTGACGATTATGTCATCAAAACAGTCGGCATCAAATGGAACCCAGTGACAGATCATTTTAGTTTTGCAATTAAAATAGTCGAACATATTCCGGTGACCAAACGACAAAAACTCTCAAAAGTCACGAGACTCTTTGACCCCCTTGAATGGCTTTCGCTTACGATGATTTGACTGAAATCATTCATACAACTCATGCAGATGGACAAGATCTCGTGGGATCAAACGAAATCAGTCAATTTTCAGGAACACTATGGACGCCTTCCATATCATCTTAAGGAACTGGAAAACAACAAGTTGTCTCGCCGAGTTCTTCTACGCTGACAACCAAAAACCTTCAACATCAAGTTTTCTGTGACGCATCAACTACAGCATGTGCAGTTGTCTTGTATACTTGACAAGAAACCAGCGAAGATGATACACACGTCAAAATGTTGACCGCAAAAACAAGGGTTGGCCTATTAAATGCATTTGCATTCTAAGTATGAACTTTGTGCAGCACTTTTCGTTTCAAAACTAGCGGAAGCAATTCTAGTCACCATCAGCGACAAGCGGTTTATCATGCAAACTGTCTTCGCCTGGACCGACTCTCAATCGCGTGGTTACGACAATTTCCTCGCAAATGGAAGGCTTTCGTTGCTAATCGATTAGCAAAACTTCAAGAAATTCTGCTAGCCGAGAGATGGAAATTTGTGCCGACGAAAGACAACCCCGCTGATTGTGCTCTTCGGGGTTTTTCATCATCAGCTCTATCATATCAAGAACTTTGTTGGAACCGACCAACATGGCTCTAACAGTCATCAGGCAACTGGCCGAGAGCAGAATCAATTCAGGCGGATTCGACTCATCAGGAAACCAGAACATTGGAGACAGCGGATCTCTTACAAAGATGACAGGGGAAAAAGAGAACAGAGTCTTAGATCTGATGACCTGGTTTTCACGGCTTTCGAAAGATGTCAGGATCTTAGGCTACATCAAGAGATTTGTCAAAACTGCAGAACGCATCCCAGGCTGGATTTTCAAGCTGCAGTTCTAAACGTAGCCGACGCAACAACTGCTACAGGAGATATTGATACTCCGGAGGGTACTGGCTCAAGATTAGCTTTGCGGACATAAGAAAGCGATGATGCGCGGGAAGGTTATGCTACAAAATCAGCTGTTACTAAAGGGGGAAAAGTTGGTACTGAGAGTAAACGAAAACACTCAATGAAATTTCATAAGGAAATCGGGTAAGGTATTGGTACAGGGGCAGGTATTTGCGCGATGGTTGGTATTGGTATTGGTAAAGATTTGAATAATGCTAACGCATTTTTATTCGATGCTAGTAAAGATACAGGGACAAAGCCAGATGATGAAACAAGTGTGGGTACTGATTTAGATACAAGCGCGAATTCTGTTAGCTCCTCTGATTCTCATTCTGGTAAAGGTACAGGTAGGGAAATTATAGGTAAAGGTACGAAGTGGGACTTCAGCTGCTTTGCGGATGTTGGACTGCAGGTTTGTCAGCAATCGCTGATCGCGCGAATGCAACAATTCCATCGAGCAGAATTTCAGGGAACAAAAACAACGACAACAAAACTGACGACTCACGACAATGGGAACTTAGTAAAGTTCAGTCAGGGGAACGACGGCAACTCAGAGGAACTGCAAACCTGAAAAACTTTCAGCCGTGAAAGTTACGGAAGCTCGCACGACTCTGTGAATATTGGTTGAGCAGAATCATCTAGCCGTTATTAAACTTACCAGGAAAGGGAAACGTATTCCAAGGAACAGCAACCTTCTGAGCCTTTCACCCTTTTTCGACGATGAGAGCAACTTAATTTGTCTAGAGTACGCCTCGCCATTTCAACATTTGATATCGACAAAAAGTTTCTGGTGCTCATTCCCAGGAAATCACCAATAAAAAAAATTGTTCATTAGGGAAGCGCATGAAGGATCGTTTCATAGCGGGCCTCAGATGACACTCAACACCCTTTGGCAAACGGTATGGATACCAGGAGGCCTCGCGTTGGCCAAACAAGCTCTTCTTAATTGCAAGCCTTGCATTCGACAGACTTCCTCAACCAGAACTAGGAGATTTGCCGCTCGGAAGAGCGGTGGAACGTTTTACATTCAGCAACACAGGGCTTGATTATTGTGGACCTTTCCACATCAAAGACAGCAGCCGCCAAGAAAATGAAGTATATATGGCTAACTTTATTTGCTTTGCAACTAAAGCTGTTCACATGCAAACCGTCTACTTTCTCACAAAGGACAATTCCTTAGACTCTGTGAATTAATTTTGCGCCAGAAGAGGATTACCGAAAGCTTTTTATAGTGACAATTTGATTACTTTATTGGCTCCAGAGGTGAAATTGAATTCCAAAAATTGATGATGAACAAAAAAAAGTTCAAAGAAATCTTCGGCACCTTTACCAACGACAACAGTGTTTGATGGTACACTGTTCTACCAAGAGCGTGAAACTTCGCAGGATTATGGGAAGCGGCAGTGAAATCGTTGAGACGACATTTATTTCCAACAGTTGGGAAAACGCGACTACAACTTCATCAGTTCCTGACAGTTCTGACACCAATTGAGGCCACCCTCAATCTAAGACCACTTGTTTTGCCATCTAATGGCGTCAACGATGCACTCGTTTTAACTCTGGGACATTTTCTCATCGGACGACTATTGACAGCAATACCGAATTCTACGCGCGACAAGAGGACATCGCTCAGTCGACAAATCAAAGCCATTGACAACATAGTTTGACAATTTTGGAAACGTTGGAAAGAAGAATACTTGACTTCTCTGCCTCAAAAAGCTAAATGGAAGAAATCGCCATCACGACAATTCCCCATTGGAGACATTGTTATTGTCATAGAGGACAACATCCCGCCTTTGACTTGGCCAACAAGTCGTATCACTTAAGTCTTTGCTGGCAATCACCACATCATCCGTGTTGCAGAAATCCGAACAGAACTCTACAATCGACCAGTCAACAGATTTGTACTGTTGGATTCCGACAGAAATTGACCAACTTTAGAATAATTCTTTTCATTCAGGACACAACTCTAGAATTTCTTGTAGTCGTTTTTTTTGAACCCGTTCAAGGAAGCCGTGAAATTTTGTGACTTATCTCTACAAGGAACTGTAACCGGTCAAACTGTAACTAAGCGGGCAACTGTAACCGTGCAACTATTGACTTTAACAAAGTTTGTGAAACTAAAACAGAAAATCATTATACTCAATTCTGAATAGTGTGACTATCTCACGTTTACATGTTGATTAACTAGAAATTTTTTTAAATTTGGTTACGAATCTAAGATTCAGGAATAGAATAGGAATATATCAACAAAAACTATTATTAACTGAATAGCTTGAAGTCCGTGAAAGAGCATGACCTGCAGGGGCGGTCACCCTTTGTACTGATTTGAGATATTCATTTTTGATGACGAGCCCTGAAAAATTTCTAACGGCGCCTCTGGAGCCAATATATTTTAATTTTGAGGGGGCAGCGCGCGCCGGAAAAACGCGATTTTTCGGTTTTTTTTTTAAACTTTTTGCCTGCGGTGCACACAAAATTTGGCTAAAACAGCGTCTTTTAAGTGCTTTGGGAGGGTCGGCAAATAATTTGATTGATCTAAAAAAAGGTCACTTTAACGAAAATTTTTGGAAAATCCGCCTCCCCGCTCTCGAGAAAATCCTAGATCCACCCCTGATGACATGCGTTTGGATAAAATCTTATAATTATAAAAAAAAACATGATACAAACTACCATTAGACAGTTTTTATCATGCTAATTAACTATTATTCTGATGTATTTTTTTTTTGCGTGACTCAAACGACCAAAGTTTAAACAAAAATTACCAAAAACTAAAAGAACCACACTGCACAAGCAGATCTGGCTTCGGCGACCAAATCTGTCGGCCATGTATCCATTGATTTGGGAGCTACACAAGAGTCCAAAAGCCCAAGCGAATCTGGCCCAATGTCTGTGAACTTCATTCTCGCAAATTAAGCGATACTTGACCACCAAAGTCGGCTCATCATTTGTCAAGTCGAACACAATCGTACCTTAAATTACGAATGAATTAAATATCTGTAAGAGATTATGTTTTAAAAAAACATCGCAGACGCCCCCTCCCCATTCTAGGGAATTTGACCCCTTGTCCATGCAAAAAGTATCCCTTTGGTATTATTTTAAAACTTTCATTTTTGCTCATAGATTCTCAAACTTTTCTAACATCGCCTTTGGCGAAAATATATACTAATTTTGATGAAGGGGCGGGGGGGGGGGGCTGCTCAAAAATCCGACTCCTGGGTTAAACCTTCCAAAAAGTGCCTAAAAACGGATTTTTTGCCTGTTTTAGATTCAAAATACTGCCTGCGGTTCCAAATATTTGGTCAAACTAGGATCTTTGTCTAGAAAGCTCGGAAAAATAATTTGGTCAACGCTTTTTTGTTTAAGTCGACTTAATTGATTTTTTGAGCTCTCCAAATCACTATAAAGACCCTTTTTTGACCAAATCCCTCAGGCGCCCCCTCCCCTCAAATTCGCCCCTGGGTCGACCTAAAAATGTTCGTTTTTGAAAATTTTTTGGTGCTCAATGAGTTTTGAATAGTAAAAAAATAATAGTAAGAAGTATTCATTTTTTTCAATAAAATTTTTGTGTTTGAGATTTTGTCGCTTTTGTCAAAAGCCTGTCGTAATTAAGCCAAAAAAAAACAAATTAGTTTCATTTTGTAATGGGTTGATTAAGGATTGAGCTAACAAAACAGTCTCGAAGTAAACCGACCTGGACAAGAACAGACGTCATTGAACCCTGAGTTCTCACCAGCATCGACCCTGGATCCGTTCACTTCACAGAAGAAGGGTCTCTCTTCCAGGGTGAAAACAGTGCTGAGATTCAACACGAGACACAGAGTGAAAACCGATACACTCAACATCATAAACACCTAAAAACGAAAAAAAAACTAAAATAATTATAATTATAATTCTCACGAGTTTTTTCAGCTGTTGAATCGTTTTTTTGCTTTTTGCTTTTTGCCGATGCAAAAATTTCATTTTTTTGTTGCTTTGAATGCTTATCATTGAGTACTCTACTACCTGACGTTTCGTAGTATTCATAATTTAATTAAGTGGATTATTTCACATCAAGTTCCACAGGTTGGCGCAAACTGCGAAAGCCATAGACGTATACATTCAAGCTTCATCTCAGACCCCTTTTGTTCCGACTTTCCAAGAATTAAATGGATTTTTCAGGTCGGATTGATTGCACAGAAAGTTTGCCCTTAGAGTTATGTTTTGGACAAAGAGTCTGAAAGTCAACCCGAGCACAAACTTACATGAGAATTTTTGAGGAAATTTATAAAGTGAAGTTTAAAAGTGAGGTTGATGCCTTGAACTCAAAAGTAAATATATATTTCACTGGGATTAACTTTTCTGAAGTTCTGAATAATGTGCCCAAATGACACCTCATTAGTTGAGAACCATATTTTGTTGAACTTGACTTTGCGCGTGAGAGAAAATTTGCAAAAACATGTTTTTTTCTTTCAAAAACTACTCTAGAAACTACTCCAGAAATCTTGAAGAGCAGTTGTTTTATTCAAAACTCCGCCCTGATATCAACTGCTTGTTTCATCGTAAGGATAGAAATTTTGGGACGACAATACAGTACGACAATATAAGAAAAAATGATGGCATCTGCTCCTATGCTGCTATGCTACAACTGTCGCTCCAAGTTTGTTTTTAGCTATCTATTTGAGAGAAATTGGAAATTTATGAAATTACGATTTGATTGTATGAACAAAGAGTAACTTACAATTCGTAATACAGAGCATACACAACTGCTCGTATTAGTGCGGAAACTTGATTGCTTTTACGGTCATATATGAAACTGACATCATTTTTGGCATAAACATGAACAAGCACTACCAGTGGATCCTATCTCAGCTTTTTTGCAAACTTTCCCAGCTCAAAGAGTAAAAAGTATCAATTAGCCTCTGTCAAGGCAATTTGTGAAGATTGATTAGCTAGTTTAAGAGTTACGCTACGCGTTAAGGATAGTTATCCAAAATTGGCGCCTTTAGAAAACCTGTAATGTCAGTCAGCCAAAAATGGATATCTCAAAATAGTACTAAGGGGGGATCGAATCCCTGAGGGGGGAGGGGGGGGGGGGGGGGTGTTGGTGGTCTTAACTTGGTCTATTAGTGTTAACTTGATCAAAATTAGTCCTGTTTTATGCAACAAAAGTGGCTTTTTTGTAGCTGAAGGACGATTGTCATAACCATCAATTCTGAGACTATTCTTTCAAATACTGAAAAAATCATACAATTATCTTAAACTTGAATTCACCTTTCGTCGCAAAAAATGTAAACGAGACTGCTCATATCAGGGTGGAGCCCTGAATGTTTGGAGTGCCTTTTAAGGTCTGTAGAGCAGTAATAGCATGAAAATTAAACGTAATCAAATAAAATTAAAATATTTAAAAAAAAACAATTTGAGATTTTTGGTGAAAACATCCCCCCATACGTCATAACAAGTACTGTAGATTTTGCTCCTTGTAACAAATCAATAATGGCAAATAGGCTTCGTTCAAATAACTTGGAACGATTTCTAAGAAGGATCGAATATCCGCTTACGCGTTAATATCTCGAAATATATCGCGCGTTAATTGTCCCAAATTGGCTAAAATGGCAATATTTAAACCGCCATAACTTTACAAAAAATAATCACAGATGAAAAATTTTTTCAATTTTAAGCTCAGCACAACAATACCTTCCGATTGATAAAAAAATTTCCGTCAAAATGGCTAGTTAAATAGTCGAAATTTGTCTGAAGAAAAAACCCACCTCGAGCACCAATTTTCCGTTACTTTCGTTACGAAAGTCGGAATAACAATAATGCAACTACTCTCACACGCTGAAAAAGCTAAAAGTCCATTAACCTCATATACTGAAATGGCAACTTCACAACTAATGATCATCATAACTAGAAATTATATGAAACACTGATTTAGCTAATTATCTCATATGTTGCATTAGCCACTTAAGTCAAATACTGAAAGTGCAATTTGTTGCAAATGCTGAAAAAAAATATTCATATCACATGGTGAAACGGCAGTTTATCTCAAACAAGAATAAAAACTTTGTTCAAAAAAGCATTGGAAACTTAAATTATTTTTTTAAACCTATTTGAAGCTAAAAACGACCGAAAACGGAACGTGTTTATCCCAAATGATGAACAAAAATTTTCAAAACTCGGAGAATATTTTTCTGTATTGGAGCATATGTTTCTATTCGGAGCACATTTTCGGGATGTTTGTGCTCGGGTGGTTTTTGTACCGACTTTTGTAATGAAAGTAACGGATTATTTGTGCTCGGGGTGCGTTTTTTTTCATACAGACAAACTTCAATTTTTTTAGCTAGTCATTTTTGACCAATTTCTTTATTATCATTCAAAAGTATTCTTGTCCTGAGCTTAAATTTGGAAAGATATTTTGCCTTTAATTGTTTTTCGTAAAGTTATGGTGGTTTAAAGATGGCCATTTTGGCCAATTTGGGACAATTATTGCACTATATATTTAGCGCTCTTAATGCGTAAGGTGAGATTTATTCCGTCCTAGAAATCGTTCCAAATTGGTTAAAAGAAGCTTATTCGCCATATTTGATTTGTTAAAAGGAGCGAAATTTATTCTTTTGTGCTTTATATGGCGTGTTGGGGGATGATTGTCAAAAAAAAACCTCAAGTTCTAGAAAAATTTTTTCATTTTATTCTATTACAATTAATTTTTTTCCGTTAATACTGCTCCATTGACCTTAAATAGCAATCGAATCTTTCGGGGATTTGCCCTGATACGAGCAGTCTTGTTTTTTCTTCAGACAAATTTCGGCTTTTAAACTAGTCATTTCTGACTGAATTTTTTTTCATATCATCCAAAAGGTGTTGTTGGCCTGAGCCTGAAACTTGAAAACATATTTCACCTTTGACCATTTTTTTTGTAAATTTCTAGCGGTTTAATGAGCGCCAGTTTGACCAATTTGCGACAATTACCGCGCGGTATATTTCGCGCTATTATCGCGTAAGCGGAGCTTTAATTCTTTTTTAGAAATTATTCCAAATTGGTTGAAGGCAGCTTATTTGCCATAATTGATTTGTTACTAGGAGCTAATTTTAACACCTTGTACTTTCGTTGTCCGAAAATTTAACACCGTACATGTTAACACCTAGTCATTTCACTACTAATCAATTTAAACCACAACATTTCAACTCTTATTTTCTAGTTTAACACCGTACATGTTAACACCTTTTCATTTCACTACTATAGTTAAGGCTGTATGAATTCATTATCTTAACTCTTATCACCCCAAAGTCAATCCTGCAATTAACGCTCGCACCATAGAAGAAAACTTGATTTATCTGAGTTATACATGCTGAAATGAGGCTTCCTAAATCACTTAAGACTCTTTCCGACAAGTTCCTAATTTATTTTCATCCAGATTTTTCGCTAAACCTTTATGATCACTAAAAAGACCTGCTCGTGCTAATTCATAACAAATTGACGTGAATTTTTTGACAAATAGAAATTTTGACAGTCGCTTTATAAGGGACTCACAAATGCAAGTGATAAACAAAAGCAAACACAAAAGACGAACTATGATTGAGTCTTCTTTCGAATTCACAGTTGCATATAAAATTGAGTCAATTCTGATAGCGTCAGGCCTCGAATTGTTTTCAAGCGAAACAATAAGTATACCGGAAACTGGGTTGCTCAAAATTTTAACCAAATAAATGTCAAGTAACTGCCATAACAGAAATAATGAACTGATCGAGAGGCGTGCAGAGCATAACCATGAAGTTTTAGCGGGAAAAACAAAAGTCAAAAATGTCATAAAGCTTTTAAAAGATCTCAGTGAAAGATTTAACCCGATTATCGGAGTTGCCAGTGCAATTTTGGCAGTTAGAAAATATTTGGCCACTCAGTTTGCCCTCTCAACTAAAGACAAACTGATCCGAACGGCAGAGCACACACGTAAGCAGCTAGATTTTATTATACCACCCATCCCCATTTTGCAAAATTTCGAGAACCCAGAAATGTTTGTAAGTAATTATCCGGTATGAGCGTGGATCGAATGATCACGAGAGAGTCATTTTGTGCGGCAACCCCGAAATGCTGAGAGTCATCTTTCTGGCTAGCCGATAGCACTTTTGAAATCACTCCAGAATTGTTCTATCATCTCGATTCAGTTAATGGTAGTGTATTTGGCATTAATTGCTCGAAATCTAACAAAAATGTTGGAGGTCGGCAGTTGGGTGCTAAATCAATTAACGTCTGCAAAAATCGATTTTCGGTTATTTCGTATTTGTTAGGAAGGAAGCGTAAATGCAAGGTGGCGCAATACCTTGCATTTACGCCTCTTTCCTATCAAAACCGAAAAAGCTAAATTCGTTTTTTTGCAGGCGTTAATTGATATAGCTCCAAACTGCCGGCTTAAAAGTTTTTTTGTTAGATTTTGAGCAATCTGCTTTTCAGTCCTTCCAAAGAAAAACATTCACCGAAGCTCATTTATTGGGTTGTTTGTTCCATCTCTCCCGGCTTACATAAGAAAAGTTAAGGAGTTTTTTAAAAAGTGAACTACGAAACGAATCACGACTTAGCGCTGGCTTTAAAAATGCTGCCTTCTCTTGCATAAGGAAAAAAAGAAAACATCGGCGATTCCTGTGATAAGATTGTTCAGAAAATTCAGAATGTATGCGACAGAAAATGTATAGAACCCGCAAAAATTGAGAAAATTGACAAGTTGTGTCTCTATTTCGGCTCTACTTATATGAAGATATTGGTGCCAAACCGTGAAATTTTTTTCCCAGCCTCCCTATGGAACCAGCGAGAGGCGATCGTGAGTGGGATTGCTCGAACAACAAATGCTGTCGAAGGAAGTCATTTCGGGATCCAATCGTATTTCAGCAGATCCCAAAATGTGGATAGTAGTGGGCAGCCTCCAAACATTAGTCTGTAGAAAAACTATTGTTTATTGATGCATCGAGTGAACTTTATTTCACACAAAAAAAAAACAAAAAGTACCGAGTATTAAATATTATATGAAAGAGTACAAAACATAATGTCCGTTTACGAAGACAAAATTGATTTGTACTTTTTCAGAGTGTTATCTAGTGTGTGTTAAATCATTTTAAGTTTTGTCTCATTTTTATTTTTTTTTGTGTTATTAAATTTCAAATTTTAATCCTACTTAAATTTTTCCCAGTGTTTTTTGAAAAGACGTTTCCTTGCAGACTCCCAGAAAAGTAATTAAACTCAAGAACTTGACTCGTGCCGTAGCACTTTAGACCCATGACAATCGCCCTTATTTTCGAGATGCTAGATTGGAACTAGGGACCTGAAACTCTTCAGCACTGCTCTGATGTGCCAACAGTTCAAAAAAGCTGACAAAGCGACCAGGTTATAAGTTTAAGTTCGAGACAGATTCTGAAAAATAATAGTTTTTGGGCTTTTGGCATTAGTGAAACCTTTTTTAAATTTCTATACCGGCTGAAAAAGTCTGGAAACTCAGGCCATATTAGGCAAATGCCGTCTAAATATTTGCGGGCCATCGAATTTTATTGAACTATTGCTTGTTTCTGCTTCATTTTGGAATGATTCATTGAAATCAATGGCAATGCCATTTTGTTTCTGTATGGAACGATTCATTGAAATTATTGGCAAGGTCATTTTTTTTCAAAAATTACGCGAACTAAGTAGCGCGAAATTGTCTGACTTTAAATGTGTCCAATTCACCAAAGTCCCTTATGAAGTAAGTTTTTCTCATTTTGGATTAAAACGGTGTTATAAAAACGGTTATAGAAGCGGTTTTTAAACTGTAGCGATGTTAAAGTGGTAAGGCAACGAAAAATAGGGCGTGAAATTGTATGGTCTTAAATTGCTTAGAGTTTAAAAGAGTGCAACCGTATTTTCAAAGCCGGGTGGGGGGATGATTTTTTCGTAGGTCACTCAAGTTTTTTTTTTACTTTATTTTATTACAGTGAGTTTTTCTTTTTTTAACTGCTCCATAGACCCTTAATAGGCAGTAGAAACAATCAGGGCTTCACCCTGATGCAAGCTGCTTTGTTATATTTTCTATTATCGAAATCTATGGTACGAGTTAAACACTAAAACAATGTTTATGGATCTGTTTTGTGATTCCAGAAACAATAGTTAGGTCTTTGGCCTAGATTTCACACTCAAATTTAGTTTTTGCCTAACTGTCACATTCGAACGGGCAGTAATTGTCTCTTAATTATCTGCACCTGAATCGCTGGCAATTTTGCAGAACACAAGAACACTTTTTTGTGCACTGCAATTTGCATACATCCATTGGTGCGGTCCATCATGCGGTCCGTGAAATATTCATAGTATGAAAACTGCTCGACTAGCATTTTCTCAGCATTTTTTTAAGGAAAAAATTCAAAAATTTTTTTCAAAAAAATTAGGGGTCATGGCACCGTTTAACTATAAACAATTTTTATGCGGTTAAGTTTTATTTTAATGACATTTTTTTTTAATGTAGAAAGTTTTTAATTAAAAAAAACGCTAGTCATACAATTCCCATAGTATGGATACTGTATGACTAGCCTTTTTTCAATACTTTTTTTTCGGAAAAAAACATCAAAATTTTTTTTCAGTACATTCCGAGATGACCGTTTAACTATAAAGACTATTTTTATGCGGTCAAACTTTATTTTAACGACATTTTGTTTTCAATGTAGAAAATTTTTTAATTCGGAAAAAAATCTAGTCATACAATTCCCATAGTATGGAAACTGTATGATTAGCATTTTTTCAATGCTTTTTTTTGGAAAATAAACTCAAAATTTTTTTTTCAATTTATTTTGAGATCAACGCTTAACTATAAACTATTTTTATGAGATTAATTTCAATTTCTCGAGTTTTTGTTTTCATTCGAGAAAAATTTTCAAATCCGAAAAAAAGGCTAGTCAAACAATTCCCACAATATGGGAACCCTATGACTAGCATTTTTTCATTCACAAATTGTATGGAACTGTATGACTAGCATTTTTTCATTCACAAATTGTATGGAACTGTATGACTAGCATTTTTTCATTCACAAATTGTATGGAACTGTATGACTAGCATTTTTACTGTATGGCGGTCAACCCGGGACATGAGGAATATGCAACAGCTCGCTACATTCAATGGCTGCATTTTCTGCGATAGAACTAACGGTTTGAAAAATGTATCCTTCTTCGCATTTCTGTCTAGACTCCGGGTTATTTTGGTAAGTTGATTTCAATTAGTAGTTATGATTTGTTTAAAAGATTGTATACGGAATCCAGAGATATATATGCAGCAAATAGTGCGCCTTATGAAAGTACTATTTGACCTTGTAATGATTCATATATAAATGGCGCTCACTTTTTTGTTCATGGGGTATCACGTCTAGCAATAGACCCAAACTTTTGAGCATCAGATACGAATTGGTTAAAATTTGACCTTTAACTTAATTTAGGGTCTGCGGAAAAAAATCTCAATTCAGCAGCAAAACAAGATCAAGAGATATAATCATTGAAGACGATTCAAGTGATACAACAACCTAACCACCTCCTAATCCATCTCCAAAATAACGAAAAGTACATTGATATGGAGTGAAACGCCGTTCGAATATGTTCATCTCAAAGTTTTCAATCGGAGGCGTTTACTCCTAATTACACCAAGCGATTTTCAAGAGTCACAAGACATAATAATCTCATGATGGAAGTGGCAATAAAAATAGACCCCCACTCTCATACTAAATCTGCAAAAAAATGAGTTTTCACATCTTGAAAGTTAAAATATTCTTTCGCATTAAAGGTATATGGTCAGAACATTTTGTGACTACACTCTTTGCAGAGCAACCGGCTACTCTTGTTGTTACTTACTTTTTGATAGACCCCGAAACCTCCGACCGTGTCCAATTGTTTCTCAAAAGACACGTGACTTCCATCATCCTGCGGTTTCTTCTTCATTATTTCACAGCAATGATAAACTATTAGAAATAAGAAAGCCTCGGATTGTATTGCAGTATCTGTAAAGCCAGATCAGCAAAGAATTGATGAATCCTGCAAGATCTGTACTTATCAGCCAGAAAATGAGTTCTTCTACTTAACTAAAGCAAGCTCATTGTCTAGCTCATAAAGCATAAGCTCAAAGGCGCAGAGTAAGTAATTAATCAGGGTCATAAGCTAACAGAGCCAATGCATATGCACAGCAAACCTTACCTTGATGTCTATATTTCTTCATGTTCGAATCTTCTCAGAGACGATTATTTATTTAGGCTATATATATATATAGTCTTAATTGATATGAAATCGTCAGATTTAATGCCATAATAAATTGCGAGATCAGAATTTATTGTGTCTATAATATAACAGAAAACCCATGATGGCCATTAGCTGCATGGTGACACTTCTTGGCTATACCATGATGGCCATAAGTGCATGATAGCCATAACATAGGTTTGCAGGGCGAAAACTGAGGTTAAAGACAACTATAACTTAGCAACAAAGGAGCATACACGAGTTATATGATGACCATTAATTGGCAACAATATGCCATGACTTAGGTTCATGATCATCATAAACTAGCAGCAAAATTCCATGATAGAGTTTGGTTCATGATGGCCAAAAACTAGAATCAAAAATTATGACATAGAAACGTGATGGCAATATCTAACCAAGAAAAGGCCATGGCTTTGGGACATGCTGACCATAAGTTTAAACAAAAGTTCATCAGATGGATACATGATGGTCATAAACTAGGAATAAAATGCCACGAGTTAGGTACATGATGGTCATAACTTAGCAACAAAAAGCCATGACTTAGGTACAAGATGGCCATAATTCAATTATTGGCCTTTTCTGTCACAGCGATGACTGAATTGTCTGGGTGTTTAACCAACGTACTGCCGTGAAAGTCATCGTTTGAGAGTTTCATAGCTCGAAATTTAATATTTCATTATTGGTTGCCTTTTTGAGCTGGTTTTTGCGTTACAAAGTGTGATTCAGGCTTTGGTTTAAAAAAAACGTTTTTATATACAATTCCTGTCGAAGTTGATGATAAACAAGACACCATGCAATACACTGTAAGAAAAAGAAAATATGAATTATTTTTTGATAAGAAAAATTTATTTTCCTGTGAACATTAGCTCTTGAAAAATCATGTATATAGCCAAGAGCCATGTTAATATGAAGTTATTTGTTATTGTGCCATTTATGACCGTTTTTTTTCCTAGAAAACCAGCTCTAAAAAACTTCTATAGAGATCTTGTTGGTCTATAAGTTATCACGACAACTCTTAAAGCTGAAACGTGTTCTGAAAAATAACTGTCAAGTAAAACTATTAATTTAATTGCTATTTCACAAAATTTATATCCATAATAACCACTTGGTTAATTATACACGCTGCTACAAAATGAAATTATCATAAGAAAGAAAGAATCAACAATTACACCGGCATGTAAATATAGAATAACGCCTTGTATGAATACGAATGAGATAATACTGTTTAATAGATATAAAAACAAGAACATAAGATTTTAAAAAAATTTAGCTAGATATAAACCTCAAAAAGAACTGATGGATCTATCAATAGAATTTTTTTAGTGTTTTTGTTTTCTATGAAACAAATTTTAGGTTCAATTTTCTTTTTTTATTTAGATTTAAAGGTTCTCAGCCTTACGTGTAAATTGTTCCATTTATTACAACTTTTGTTTGCTAGAGAATTCTTCCCCCACTTGTTTTCAGAAACCTACTTTGGGTGATTTGCTTCGTGCGTTCGTATAGTTTCACAGGTACTCTGTTATAGATAAACTGCTTACCAATTTTATTTGTCGAAATGTTTTTTTTTGTCACATTGAACACTCTAGTCAAGCTACTTTGAGCAATGAATAGTTCGGCTAGTGAAACTTGAGATCTGCAAAGTAGATCACGTGCATAATCAGTTCATATTTACTGCGGAGATAGCACACTTCGACCCCCAGTTAATTTGTCTGTTTTCAGAAAGCTACTTTGTTTCATTTGTTTTGTGCGTTTGTTTGGTTTCACAGGTACTCTGTCATAGATAAACTGCCAACCAACGTTATTTGTCGGATGTTTTTGCCACATTGAACCTTCTTGTCAAGCTATCTTGGGCAATGAATAGTTCGGCTGGTAAAACTTTAGACTTTAAAAATTGATCACGCGCAGGATCATATTTTCGGCGGAGATAGCACAATTTGATTCCGCAGTTAATTAGTCTGTTGTGTCTGTTAATTTAATACTTGAGTGAATTTTATATAAAAAAAGCTGAACTAAAAGATAAATGTGATGAAACTAGCTATCTGAAAAGCATAAACCTTGTTCTAATGGTACCATATGTCGCACACAGAATATTGGCTTAATTAGAACAGCCGTTTTAATTAAACATTTGTTCAATTCAACTGATAAAGTGGGATTTTTGTCCACTGACACACCAAGACAATTCTATTTCAGCATGTTCTTTTGCGGAAACTATTTATTCTCTATAAATATTTTTTTCTAAAATATTATTTTCCCCAAAAACAGTAATTTTTGTTGTTACCTTTACTACAAACAAGTGTATTTTCATTCAAGTTTCTTGTATTTTTTCTAGCGTTTCTAGCATTGACATTTTTTAGTCAGTTGGGTTTCCTGTACATAATTAATGGTATCGTCTGCGAATTGCCCTAAATTCATGTTTCTGTTTTTAAAATCATTTTAACAAAGAATGAAAACTAATGGTCCCAAAACAGTACCTTGTGGTACGCCATGATTAAGCAATTTTCAGTCAGTTGAATGGTTTAGTTTTTTTTACACATTTCTGACGGTCTCTAATGATAAATAAGTCGACCAGTAATTATCACAATTACTGTTTCAAATGAGCTGAAAAACCGAGCTTAACATCATGAACCCACAATTCCAGAGGTTATCCTTTGAATGCCTTTTTCTAAAGTGCTGATTTTGGTAGCTCATTTTTAAAACAACAACAACAACAGTCATCGAGCTTCAACGACACCAAGTGTTTAGGATAACTTGCCCGATTGGCCTCCCTTCATGCCCAGAGAAAGCTAGTCATGCATTTTTACTTACGAAAAATTTATAGCTATAAAGTTTAGTGATAGGCCAAAAGCCGAAAGCTAACAAACCGAAAATAGGATTCGCAATCCAAGAAGCACAAAATTAATATCGTTAAGCAACCGAACAACAGATTGTCACTGTTACATGAAATTGTTCTGTAATACTGTTTTTATTTACGTTATTCTGATTTAATTTCGGCTCTGTAAAAAATGGCGGTTTGTAGATACCGTGGTTTGCTGAACATCCGCTTTCCTTTCCTTTGGTATGAGAATTGAAGGATATCATCTTTCAAAAAAAACATTGTTTTTTCTTCACAAAGTATCGTTTTTTTAAAAAAAAACTTTCTATATTATTTATGAGCAAACTTATAAGGCACCTGTATAGGTCAGGTAATGGTAATTAAACACCTTTTTGGGAATGAAAACACTTTGTGTTTGTATCATAATGATCAGACTATGGGTTTGTATGATCACTATGATTATGAGCATTCCATACCAGGGGCGGATCTAGAATTTTTTCGAGGTCCGGATTTTCACGTTCACCCCTATAATCACGGTTCATTCCATGGGTTCACAACCCATACCCTCCTACGCCCCCCCTCGCTACAAGTCCCACGCTACGCTCAGGATCATCATCACTCCCACCCCCATGAATAGGAAATTTTGGGGTTGGTGGTTAAACCTGGTTGGTTTTGTCGGAAAATTGTTGGGTCTGCAAACAACTCGATAAGAAAGAACAAATATGCATTCGTAACTTATGATAAAACGCGATTGAAATTAAGATAAAATGAAATATTTGCAAACAAAAATAAAACTTAAGCTTAAACATTTAATGAATAAATGAAAATCTCACACAAAACACAAAAAGTTTTAGAAAAAATTGATTATATTTAATGATTCATGTTTCGTTTGGCAAATTTTTTTGAAAATAGTTTAAAAACAATCAATTAAGCTCAATCAAAAAATTTTCCAATTGAGTTTCAGAATAAAAACAGAATGAAACAGTACTGTAACAGCAGGACTGGCATTTTTTTCCTGTTCAACTTCTTCAGGTGACAAACAGAGTAAAATACTGATATTACTCTGATACAAGACTGAATTTTGTCAACAACTGTTGTCTTACTTGAACAGTACTGATAACCTTTGTGACTTCAACCCGGGATTTTCGAAACGCGCGCAAAAATATTTGGTCGCTCAAAGTCCCGAGGGAGTCCTGTACAAAGTCGCGACATATATCATATGGGTCGCTTAAAATCGCGCAGGTTTTTCCACCTCGCGCTAACTTGACAAAACTTTTTGATTGCGCTAGTCGCTCATTTTTTGATTGCACGAAATATTCTTTTTCGGTCGCGCCATTTTGCTGCATTTATTTTGAGTTTACACAGTTGCGGCATACTCGTGTTGAATCGCGATAGTTGCAACGTAAGTAGCATACCGCGACCTGCCTCTCAAACGATTCTAATTTTTATTGCGCATACTGCAGTACAGATACTTTTTTATAAGGAGATGAAGTTTTTTTTATTTTTTTTTGGTTCAATTTTCAGTCAACCAGGACTAGTGATTCTCTTGCAGTTCTCAGAAAAATTCAAACCAAATGAAATCAACAGGAAAAAACTCCGGTTTAAAAAATTTTATTAATTAATTGTGGCTTATGATTCCACTGTATTTAAATTTATATTGATGAGTTTCCATTACATTAAAATCTTATCATTGCTAAACTGAGTTTTTTTCTAATTTTGAACTTCCCGGGTTGACCTCCATAGACCAAAAATGCTAATCATACATTTTCATACACTTAGTCTATTGAAAAATGCTAGTCATAAAAATTTCATACACTTTTGGAAAATGAGTTAAATCGAATTTCAAAGGTATTTTATAGTTGTTTTGGTATCGAAATTGGAATCGCTTCATAAAAAAAAGAAAAAAAATGGTATGAAAAAAATGCTAACCATACAATTTCCATATATGGAAGTTGTACGATTAGATTTTTTTTTTAAAATTTTGTTTTGTGAAAAAAAAAAGCTTTGAACAATCAATTCAACTGCTGGCAAAACATTTAAGCGTTTTTTGGGCTGCTACGATTGAAAACTTTGATTTTTTTATTTT